GAATCATTTAAACGGTTGATTCATTCAGGAACGAAACGCCGACATGTTGCACAGAGACGCAAAACAGTACTGTGGCTGTGCTTGGAATGTTTTTTGTTGCCAAAATAAAGCAAAAACAGGCAATATAGTGTCTAAAACATAAGTCTCATAATATTACCTTCTTGTTTATTGAACTGTTGAATAAAATCACATTTGTAATCATGCTGGTTTTATAGGTGAAAACTGGCACTCTTCGTGTGATATTGACTAACTTTCTTTCTGTGGTATTTTTATGCACAATCGCGTTTAATCTTTCACAAAACATAGCTAACGTAGGGACATTATAACCAGCCACCATATTGATTTACGGTCTTAAATATGTCCAGCGCTGTTTTTTTCAAGTCTGGTCCCTGTTTTTATACAGTCTATTGTCTATGGTCTGGTCCAGCGTTTATCGGGTTGTGCGTCAGTAATAATGGTCCGTGGGGAAACACGGTGTTCCGTGTGTAGTTACAGTAAATGGATGATTTTTTGTATTCGAGTTACTCAAGGTATTCGAGGAATCGTTTCAGCCCTAATTTGGACATTTGGACAATGTTTTTTGCATAAAATTAAACCTATGATACGTCATAATATCTGATTTAAGCCTCACATTTTATGCACAAAAAGACATGCATATCTGACCCATTTAAATGCACAGAAACAACATCTGTAATATTGTATTTAAATAATTAGCTGTATTTTCATGAGATTTCATGAGAAATCAAATGCTTAGTAGGCTATATATTAAACCAAAGAAAAAAGCTGTAGGATTGTCAATCAAAATATGACGGAAAAACTGGGGGCCATTATAAATCTGGGCAGCTCCATATGAGGCTGGGCTATGGAGAATGCATTCTCTAGCTTTGCTCTTATCCTTGAGGAAGGATGAAAACATATACCTGATAGCAGCCTGACATACTGAAGGATTACGCTATCAGAATAGTTATTATATCACAACCCATCTTTGATTGCACCCATTGAGAGATGGATAGTGTACAAGCAGTAACCTCTGATAGTACATTGCACTAGCTGGTATTGCAGTCATTGCTTGGAGTATTGCAGTCATTCAACATCTGAGATGTGATTTTGAAGTTCTCTGTAGCACATCGACCAATTTTGATTTTTTTTTTGGACGATGTTGAGAGCAGTGTGGCCGATGGTCGATATAAAGCCAATATAGGATATCACACTATTTAATTTAAAGATTTAAAACATGCTGCAATTAAACTTACATTTATTTCACATAATATTTACTAAATTAAGAAAACATTTTTAAAAATAGCATGGATTTTTTTTATTATTTGATTATAAACTTAACTGAAATGTTTAACCTGATTTCAAAATTTAAACAGCAACTTCTTGATTCTGAAATACTATTATAGTATTTTTACAAATAAAAAAATATTTAAATGACTAAAAAGGAAGTAAACACCAAATAGTAAACATTTATTAGATCCTCAAAGACTAGTTTAAATGACATAAATGCATATTTATTGAATGCTGATGATATACAAGTATAATAGCGTTCGGCAGGACTAATAATAGTCCTTTTTTTACCACATTTTTACTATTTTTTATTGTTTACTATTTTGTTTAACATTACTGTCTAAATCATTTATTAAATTGGACAGTTAAATATATACAGCGAATTAAGGAAGACAAAGAATGGGAGTTTCTGTGCATCTAAATAAAAGTCTGGGAGCTATCAAAATAAAAGACACGCTGCTGATCGGCCGATGGTGATAAACTGGTAAATATCAACTACTACATGTAATAACTATTGCACCGTTCAGAGCGCAATGCACATTTATGCATCATAACATTGACATGGTATTTCGGTATTGGACATGGATTCATTAGCTGCTGAAAAAAAACCTTAAACAATCTCAGTAAGGGACATCCATTACAGGAAAACACAATACGCTAAATGAATCAACTCAGTGGCTGTCTTTTGCTCCACTGCTGGATGTATGATAGATTCCCTGCTCGGTAATGAACACAACGCTACCAGGCACCTATCAGTCTTTCCTGTCGAAGCTGTGCTGACATGAATAAAACAAAAGTTGGGGTGAAATGAAAACAATCCATTGTGTCAGAAAAGTCAGTGTCCATGGAGCCCTGCAGTCTCTTTCAGAGCAAAAACAAACCCAAAATCTGAAATAAGTGACTGATGTGAGACAGAGGTGAAGGAAAAACAAAGAAAGAGGGACAGAAGCAGAGGCACGTGTTTGGATATCTATAAAGTGTATTTATGTTCATACTGATTATGACTGCAATGACACAGGCTGTGTATGGAGAGTGTGAGTAGTTTAAGGCACTGTGTTTAATAGTCTCTGTCCTGAGTTCACATAAGCATACAGTATATTAAACTGTTTACCAGTATCATGTGTCCAGTGGAGATGTCCATGTTGGTTTGGGTAGGCTCTTCACTCCAGGAAGATGTGCTGCTGCGGGCGGAGGGACTCTGCATCGGCCCATCACTAAACTGTGAGGACACGCTGTTAATGCGTGACGTGTGCGATGGGTGAAACACCTCTGATCGGTCTCCACGCTCTGATGTCTGCACCGCCATGCGCTGACGACAGAGATCCTATCGAGAAAGTGGACGAACATTAGTCTTATCTGTGAAGACATTATCTGGTGCAAAATAAAACAGTTCTAAAGAGTAAAATGATCAATCACACAAAATACAACATCAAAGCACTGGTTATTATGCTTAGAATATTATAAAAGGTATTTATACAAGAAAATCATATAAATACAAACTGATTCCACATCAGCATTCTGGATCAAATAAACTCTATTTCGTTTATCTCCACTTTGCATCTCATGATACAGCCCACAACACATTACGTCACTGTCTGCTCTACAAGATGAAATCTATCATCTGCATAAACTCACGACCCACCAGTGGAGCAAATAATTACTATATGCTACCAGTCATATTTAAACACAAGGTTCATAGATAAGGGTTCATCCTCAAAAATAATACATTTACATATTTAATAAATCATAAGCATGCATATTTGCTTACAATATGACAGTTTATGACTAAATTCTTAATAAAATGCCACCAAGAACATTCTGAATTAGCAATTAATTTACAAAATCAATGGAACTGACTAGAAAATACAGCTAACTCTCTCTCTCTCTCAGAACAAAGCCACTGCATTTATCAACCAACTGCAGGGCTCGCAAAATTTCAAAATCGCTGGTAGCCCTTCGGGCAGACATTCTTCAGATTTTGGTAGCCCAAAATGA